ACAAGATCAGGAGGCAAGATCGGGAGGGAAAGAACGGTCTTGAGCTCACATCTAAAGGTCTCTGCTGATCTAGTTACAGCAAACGTTTAATGTGAAAGGCTATCTGTATCGAGGCTAAGCAGATTAGATAGGATATAAGTAAAGTCTTGTATACTAAGGTTGATGACAAAAAAAAAGGGACAAGGAGGTGAAGAGTTGGGGGAGGAAACTGAGTGGAGGAACTTATCTACCCAGTGGTTTAAGGAAAGGAAGCCCTGGACCAAACAATCTTGACTATTAAGTATTTTTCAGTTGTGTTTGACCCAAAAGCCAACATAGGCAAAAATCTTATTCCAAGGGCTGTATCAGGACTTTCTGAATTTCATGTCCACACCATGATAAAATTCTGAAAGGAAGAGTCCATGTTAGTTTGGCAAAAATGTCAATAGTAGATAGAAGCTAGTACTTAAAAGCTCTAGAGACCAAAGCAGACCAGGCTGATCCTCTTCAGCTCCCTTACTCAGCTTTTCAATCCAAGGCCCTTAGGGCAGACTGCAGCACCACACCCACCTCTTCAGAGGCTGCCAGAACAGACCTGGTCTTCACGGCCCACAGCAACCAGGCTCCATGAAGACCCACTCTGCAGAATTTTCTACTAAGCAGATGAACTGTGGGCAGAGGGTGGCTACAGTCTGTACTCAGTTGTACTGCCAACTACAAATATACCACCTTTTAAGTAAAAATTTAAGTTAGGCATAGGCATTGTCAAAATTTAGTTTTATCCCATACTTGGAAAAGTTGTGAGGGGTCATCCTTACTGATAACTCCTCTGACTTAAATAATTCATTTAAAATTTCTAGATAAATACCAGCATCATTCTTTAAGAACCAAAGATGCTGGAATTACAGGTTAATACAGTGCTTAAAATAAGATGAAAAACTTACCGTTTAATAATATGTTCAAAGATAAAAGCAGGCATAATTGTTATGGTGACTATAGTCCCAGATGTTGAAAGTATGTCTGCTATTTGAGAATCCTG